CTCTGTTGCTGAGGATGAATAACGTGTGCTTGTTATTCCTTTTTAGATGTTTTTGAAAAGCTTCGTGATCTTGATGTCGCCTTAGCTGACACGTACAAGTAAGTGTAGGGGTTTATAGTCTAGTCTTGATTTAGTCCCTGGTGATGATTGCTCGTGGTATGGCATATAGATATTGGTTCCCACTTTACGCCCCTTGTCCTGTCCAGGCGAAAAGGGTGAAGTAACAGCTGGAAAATTGAGAGTTAACTCACTGAAGTCAGAGAATTTTTCTCTACCTCGTGTGGTTCCCTATTTTCTTTCTGAGACTAATGCTCAGAACGAAATGCAGTGGTTGGTTTCCAGCACTCCAAATTACGTTTTAGTTAATTGTCTACTTTCCAGCTTCTAATATCTGTGTGGAGCAATATTGCACTCATAATTGTACCCTTGAAATAGCAGCCACGTCGTACCACCAGTTAAAGTGTGATAGACCTAAAACGTTGCTTTATATTCCTAGAAACTTGGACTCAGCCGCTACAGACAAACCAGATATCACTGAGATAAAAAACTCAATTAGGGTAAGTAAGCTCAGTGGTTGTTTTTGCGATAGTGCAGGCCTCCTTTGGCTCGTCACGCAATCTTCCTAGCCTTGCTGATATCTCTGGAAAGATTGCGTGATAAGTCGAAAGGCCACCAGCCTTAGAGGCTCAGGGAGAGGATCAGGCCGTGTGTGTTAGCTATTACAAATTGATAGTATAATGAACCGAGGTGATCACCATACCAAGGAACAAACAGTAGATTGATGGTGTTCTCCAGTAGTAATACTTAAGAGTGTAACAGGTGTCACTTTATTTGCTCTCTTTCATTCTCTCTCTCCATTAGGATGTAACGAGCATGATGGAGACGTGTTACGGACAGATGGGAAGTCTCTTTCGCAGTGGTAAGTGCAATTGTTTCTATGGCTACCACAATCCTGAAAACGTCTCGCTAACCTTCTTTTGAGAAGAACAGAGAAAGTTGCTACTTGCACTGATTGTAGATTCTCCTTTGAGGCTAAGTAGACGCTGATTATTATTTTGTATTGTGGAATTGCTGTCCGAGGATTTTTCAGTCAAAATTAATAAACTATTACGTTGTTCCATTCGTTTTGTTTCTCTCGTCTGTTACTAGACTACTCCTCCTCCTGGCGAATTAAACCGCATTTCCAGCGTCTTTCCAAATATTTGCTAAGGAACTTAAAGTAAACTATTAACCTTTTGCCTCATCCTGTACTGATGAAGATTTTTCGTGTCTGAAGAGGTTCGAGTAAACACCCGTTGACATCCTCATTGAGGAGATTGAGCGGGGCTTCAAATGTGGTCGTTGTCTTTCAACCCAAAGATTGCGATGGGCATTTTATTTTTCACTGAAGCATTTCCCCCCTAATGGGATAAATAGACCAATTTCGATATATTAAAATTCAGCCTAACACAATAGACCTCAGCACGAGGCTCTGGGGAATAAACTCCATAAACTCTGTAGTTATTCCCCAGAGCCTCGTACTGAGGTCCATTGTTTTAGGCTGAATTTTAATATATCGAAATTGGTCTATTACAACAATTGTGTTTTAAAAACTCCTTCTTGGCTATCACTTATATTGTGTTCTTGAACCAGACTCATTACTACCACGACTTCTCTTGGCACTCAGGCCGGGGTTGTTCGAAAGGTGGATAACGCGTCGCTATCCACCGGATAAATCACTATCCAGCGGATACATACATGCATACATACATAAACTTTATTTGAGTGGCGGAGTATAGCAAGGGTTGTCTTGTTAATACTTATCCGCTGGATAGCGGTTTATCCGGTGGATAGCGTTTTCCATCTTTCGAACAACTGGGACCTGACGTATAACTCGAATAGCCTTGGAAACCTGACAATTGGTAGGATGTTTTGTTATGGGGTGGTTTCCCAAAGGGCAGAGGGAGTACTGCAATACAATGTACTCCTAGTCGTTGACGGTCTTGGAACCGGCGTAAAGCGAGGCCAGCAGTGATGAACCCTTTCTCCGCTTAAGCCTGTTTTGAGCTACTTTGGCCTTGTAAGCTGGGGGAAAAGAAAGATGAGCCAACAAGCTACGCCTATCAAAGACTTTGTTTTTAAATTCGCTCAAGGGGCATGGCAATTAGATAAAGAATTGAGTTGTGTTAGTCCAATGACAATATGAGCGAAACTTATGGAGCCCAGGTGGAAGCTCTCTTTGCCACCAAAGTCAGGAAGGGAGTCCAGGGCGGTTTGAGCAACAGCGGCACTCGAGATAGAAAGGTTCTCTTTTATATTCACAGCTTGAATAAACGTACAGGCAGCTTACTGATAAGATTCTGGTACAGGATAAGTACACAAAGGGAAAAATTCCTGCTGTCTTGCATTTTATCAAGGGACACTGAGAAATGCGATGCTGGGAAAGTGTGAATCGTATTAATGACCTCCCTGTTAAAATTCAGCAAGTAATCATTTGAAGCATATGAACAGCCCTAAAGGATTGGTTTGGTCCAACGCGGTAACTGTTCTGATTCATCATTCAAGTTATATTGTCTCTGAAACATTGGACACTCTATTCTTCAAGATTTCCGGAAATTTAGGAAAGGGACTGAATGGATCAGAAAATTTTCAGGGGAAGTTTCCAAAAAATCTCAAAACTGTATGCGAACCATTTACATCCAAAAGTGGACAGAAATTTCTTGGAGGAAATTTTCGCAATATCGCGAGGTTTTCGTCACGCAAATGCTGTCAGTATGAAAATTTCTTGGGGACATTTCATGATTTTAACATATGTGAAAAGTGCACTTGACCGTGATGATCTGGGATAGAGTTTCGTGTTTGGCGGCCATCTTTGGTGGTGAAGAAAGAGAATCTGGTGGCAAACGTGCTTTACTTTCGAATGGAAATGTTTCCGTTCTTTATTTGAATACCCAAACACTCAGTTTAATATTCAAAAGTGCTCAAGATTGGAAATTCGTGGAAAATGTGGAGAAACCTTGCCAAATTCCCCCGCTTGGTTAGTTGGTCGAATGGTAGTCTTGTACCAAGGCGTCATTCTTCAAGATCAGAGTTTGATGTAGTAATCTTAGAGCCGATGAAATTGCGGAGATACAGGTGTTTTGCCAGATGCAAAGAGCCATTGTCTGGTCTCGAACCGCTTAAGACGTTTTACCACGAATTGGATCTCTTCCAAGTTCGTTTTAAACAACCCAACGTGTTGTTCCTGAGAAGTGAACTGATTCTTCAGCGGCTGGAATACTTAAAGCCGTCAGGATTATTGCCAAGACAGAAGAGAAAGCTCATTGAGCGGTCTCCACCAGTTGTCGTCTTTACTGAGGACTACGATAAAAAGACGGTGAATTATCTACGCGGACTGATTCGCACGCAGAAGGACGGTGTAATGGAGAATGCCCACTTGTTTCATCCATGTGTCAGAATGATATCAATGTCAAAACGCGAACTCGATAGTCGTTTAAAAACTATTACAGAGGAACTTCGGATGGCTCAGGAATCAGCCTTAAAGATGCTTTTGGAATTGCCCTGTTTCTTGCTTCACAACACCGAAGCCTCGCCAGCAGACAAGTTTGTTGTCCTACACAAGTATGATCTCCCTGCAGGTTACAACTTAGATAATCATACTGCTCGCATTTATCCTCCTATCCTTTCTGCTGGTCTTGAAATAAATCCCAGACTGTTCAGAAGAGAATCTGACGAGGAACTGGCCAAAAAGTTTCCAAAATTTTTTCTTGGAGATTTATTGGATTATTCTTATCCAACCCACCATGGAAGAGGGAAGCCAGAGGACTTAACTGAATTTCTTATTGGTGCTGAAAGAAGAGAACTAAGGCCAAAGTACAACAGAGTAATTTAAAAAGAAGAAATTTCTCCAAGCTGTGATGTGCATTGTTGAATTAAACGGTGAAAACTCTCTCTAGCAGAATTTACTTATACTGATTTTCAATCTCTTATCCCATTTGCAATATTATGTGTGTGCAATTTGAACAGGTTAAAATAAAGTTAAATAATTGGTATCAACAAATTGGAGCAATCATTTCACTGAATGAGAATGTTATGACCTTCAGGTTCAGTTGGCTGATCATCAAGTTTCAATCAGCTGATGTCTAAGCTGGTAGAAACCACAACAAGAAGTGCAACTGTCTTAGCATTGTCTTCTCCTTCATGTGTTGTGCCTCAAATATTTTTGCAATAGGGAGTCTCTGTACGTAGAAAAACTATTGTACAACTCTGTCAAACTTTGTCCATAATTAACAAATGAAGCCTAATCCGTGTATTAACAAACTGTCTGTCATAAAAAGGATAGAAATTTGAGAGCCATAGGTTCATATTTTCTACAGTTTTGTAGTGTTGTCATGTTCCAGCCATGCTTTACGACAGTATATTATGCCAAGCTTCCTTATATACTTGATGTCTTTGTTTTATTTATGCACTTTCCTATAAAGCATACTCCTTCGTGATTTGAGAAAACAGATTTGTAGCCTTTGGGATTTTGCACCGAATCCAAACAGTACTTTGTATGTAAAGCAGTTAAAGATTAAAGAATACGGAAAAAAGTTACACTGAAAGCTTATTTTTGTTGGACTGGAGACATTACTTTTAGATTTTAGAAAAACACATTAAATCAGCCATCATGGTGAATTTGGAAAGTCAAGTTTTTATGATTATTTCTAGGCGACAGCTACAAAATGTGCCAAGGTGTAAAGCTCATGGACAAACATTGACACTGTTTGCCTTTTATTAACTGAAATATGATGTTTTAGTCAATATTTCCTCATTTATTACAAAACAGAGAAACCTGCAGTTAACTGTACATGAGACAATTGTTACATCACTCACTGGTTAGCAAAGCTGACTTAAAGAAATTAACTCACAAATTTTAGTTGTGGATAAGGTGTTAAGATTAATGCACATGGGAAAATCTGAACTGAGATGACATAACATTCTCATGCACAACAAATAGGTCTACTTTAGGTTAAATAATGATATCCTCAATAGCTGTATTTTATGAAATTAAACTGGAATACTGTAATGATTCAATTTAGTGCCTGGGGCTCTAATTAACTGTTGGCACCTCAACGAAGGACATAAATTGGAGTGGGACTCTTATTAGGGATGGGGCACTTACCGTAAATCCTCAAATTAGCGCCTGGGGCACATACTTCAAATTTAGGAGAACAGGGGGGTGCTTCTTTAATTTTTCCCAAATGGTAACCTGACATGATGATTTTTTTTAATACATCATCTGCGTGTAAACAACAACATAAGTTGTTTATCAACATGAAAAGCTGATTCTAAAATTTAAATCGCGGCACCATTAGTACTTAACGTGTTTACTTAACATGTTCACAAACTGAAACAATGTACAAATCTAATACTACACGTTGTCTCAGTACCTTTCCACAAAACGGGGGCAGGGGAGGGAGCGCTTATTTTAAATTTTGGCTGATAGGAGGGGCTTTTATTCAAGGGGGATCGTTAATTCGAGGATTTACGGTATTTCTTTTTGAAAATGTACTTCTGAATTGAAAGATATCAGATAATTCAACCTGTAACAACAGGATCATAATATTCATTATTGTATAGCTCACTCCATGAGGGGGCAAGATGAACCAAATCCTACACTGTGATTGGCTACCGTACTACTCATTCTTTTTTGTGTGTGTGTTTATAAGCCTCGACTCCATCTTGGTCCATAAACACACAAAAAAGTAACTTGGCCAACATCCAGCCATCTTGACCACTTGCTTGGTCAATAACCCATATATTATACTTTCAGGTGCAAAAGCAGACTTGATAATTTAGGGTGCATTCCTTTGGAATGATCTGGATCAGAATCAGTGATCCAAGATCACTTGGATCATAATTCATCAAAGGAACCGATGAATCCATAACCAGAGTGGATTCATCAGTACCTTTGATGCACCATGATCTGAGTGATCTTGGATCACTGATCCTGATCCAGATCACCCCAAAGGAATGCACCCCCAGTTGTCTTACAGTGCAAGTCAAAAACTGTGAACCCCTTGATTTGATTCTGGCAGGTCAATTGTCTACTGACCAATCACTGTAAAGTTCAGGACACACAAGCAAGTCTCAAAACCACAAACCAAACTACTGTTACTGTTTGCGGTTCAATTTTCTCACCCTTGATTGGCTTTTCCTTTGGTAAATAAAACCATTCCATAAATATTTCTGGCATTCACGGTCAGTAAAAGTCACTTTCATTTTGAGGGCATGTATCATTCCAAGTGGGTGCTTATTGGAATAGGGTAGCTTAAAAATCCGCTCTAGTGGGGTGTGCTTGTCAGAAAAAGGGCACTTATTGAGGGCTACTACATCATATCATTATGGTAACACCTCTTATCTGGACAAAAATGGTTACCAGTAGATATCCTTGGTCAACTAGTACAAAATACTTGGGAAAATGTTTGTTTCAATGTCAGTCTATGAACCATTGCGATAAACACAGCCATACATTCATCTTTCAGGTAATAGACAGACCTTCTTTGCCAGCCAAGCTACCCGCTATGCCGATTTGTATGCAGCTTCATGTGTAAACTTACTGCATTATCCCTTCAGCTATCTCTTCAGAGCTCCACCTCAACTGGTAAGTTACATCTCACTCAATCTGGGTCTGTATTTAGGGACACTGTAAGCTAGCAGAATATATTTTTCCCATCTTTTCTACAGTAAATTGCAACTCGGAACAGCCAGAAAGTGATCTTAATATCTACATCAGTTGAATTTTGAAGTTGTGAAAGAAAACCGAGGGAAATTTACTTAGTCTTTAAGTGTTCAGTTGTCATAGTGCTTAGCTTACTACAACCTTTTGAATTACAAACCTTGCACCTTTCTAGTATTGAACCCAGTCCTTAAAGGCAAACTTTCTAACCGTCCATTTTCATTACTAAAGTGGTGGAAATGTAGGAAAAGCAAATGGTATACAGTTTACCTGACCCCCGCTGTCACTGAAAGTTTACTGTCTTGTTGGTTGGTGTAGCTGAATTTAGATCCAGACATCACACTGACCAGATCACATATGTAAATGATACAGAGATCCATGTATTGAAAGACATTTTGTGTTGCAGATGCCTCATGAGTCCACAGTGGAACACACAGGTGAGCTATTTGAGCCCACAGAGAGTAGTGCCTTTGCCCCACGAGGTTTCTCCTTTAGTGAAGACACACCCTGCACCCTTCACAGAGAAATTTCAATAAGTTCCACAGGAAGCAACTCTTCTGGCTCAGCTCTTGCAAGAACACCACTCAGGTGTAGTGATGACGTTGATGATGATGATGATTCCCCAGAAGAAAATGTTGAAGAACCTACTCAAGATCCCCTTGAGACAGTTCATGAAGAAAAGACCAGCATTTAAAGTCATCTAGAGGAAAGTCATTGTGCCAGCCAAAATTGTCGTGGTACAGAGGTAAGGTGGCCTCCAAGAACGGAACAAGAAAAATTAATGGGAAATTGCTCTGCATACATTGGACATGCCTTGAAATCTTTAATTCTTGGCTTAGGGGAACATCAATATTTAATTATAATGATTTATACTTCCCAAGGGTAAATGCCTGTTTTGTCTTCAGTGACATTACACTAAACACACAAGGAAAATAGGACACAGTGCTGCTCAATCCAGTTCAAGATTTTTGTCAAAGTAATTTTAGTTATTTTAACACTGTTACTGACCATTCATATGAATGTTTCCCACCAATATTTTATTTATTTATTGGTACTGTTTCTTTTTAACCTTTTCAAAATAAAATATTAAATGATTTGGTCAGGCACTATTGGGACTGAACGGGTTAAGGCAGGGATTCTATCAATAGTTTATTTCACAACAACAAAAAACTGATGTTGACACAGAAAACAGTTTGAAGGAAGAGCACCACAAGGCATTTATGGAGGCCAAAAGTATTGTCTAAAGAGGATACCCCTAGTGGTTATTTAAAGGACATGCATGTGCTGCATCTCTTGCATAATTTACTCAGCAGTTATTAAATGCAGCCCACATTTATACAGCGAGTGGTTGAAGAGGCGTTAACGGGATTAGAAGAAAACACAATAATTTTAAAAGAATCAAACATATTAGATTTTAATATTTTAACTTTGACTCTTAATGACATTCAATCCATCTAGAAGTAGTTGATGGAATATCATATTGAGGGTTAAAGTTCTATTTTTTTGCCAGCAAATTTAAAGTTGAACTGGTGAAAAAAAATATTTTATTTTCTTCGAGCTTTTTCAAATATTATTGGGTTTAGGAAGGTTTTAAAACACTGGTTTACAGTTGTGCACAAAAGTATGACCATAAATTATATAAATCTTAAAAATGATGAAAAATATAATTCCCTTGTCTTTCTGTATGTCTCAAGTACTACAATGTTGATACAATAGGTTACCAAACCTCCAAGGGAGCTATTACTGCTTTTTAATACCGAGAAGAATTCTTAGTGGATCTAATTACTAATGCTAAGCATTTGGTTTACCTAGTTGTTATGTATTGCCCTACAAGAAATACAACTATAATAGTTTTCCTCTTGCATTTTGTCATAATCATTCATCAAACAAGGCTATCAAGAGTAATCTTTCAGAAAGTGGCATGAAAGAAAGTCATGTATTTTTAGCGATTTGGGATTAGGCTTTATTCCAAATCCTTATTTGTAGGTTTTTATGTGGCTAAGTATCCTAGATAAAGGGAATAATACGAGAGAGAGTAAAGCAAATTAGACTGACTGCAGGCAGATTTTCTAGTAGCAGGTATCTAGTTGACACTTCCTCTTTTTAAAATTGTTACATTAAGACTGTAAGGTTATCAGTTCATACTTTTGTTTATTGTTATAACAAGAGTTTGCGTTCACAATAGCATGATGGTATTACAATTCTTAAATCATAAAATGTTATTTAGTCATTCTTTGGGTTACACTTTATTTACATCATTAGTATTAAATGAAAAGGAAAGAGCATTTAAATGTTGTCTGTTGTTGTTGAATTCATTTAAAGTGTGCTTAACTAATCTCTGTTGGATCTAGCTCCTGTTAGTCAAGACTAAAGTGGACTTATAACCTCATAATAATCAGAGTGGCACCTGAGAGAAGACAGTAGACATCCTCTCTGGGTTTGCACAAGTTTTCAGAGAAAACTTTAAGCATTCATTTTTCACAAAATCACCAGGAATACAGAGAATGAGGAACTTTTAATTTTATACAATTTTGGCATTTATTTATCAGAAAGGATGAAATGGTTTTCACTACCTGCAGAAACGGAAATGAGAGTTGAAAGAACTGCAAAAAACTAATACGCCGTTGAAAGTAAAGCCACTGGCAGTGCAGTTATTACGAGTGCAGGGGTTTCGTTAACGTTTTCAGCAGGATGGCAGCTGGTTTTTGTAGGTGGGCAAATCTATTTGAGCTAACCTTCTTTATGAGAAACACTTTTGACTTAACATCAATTTGCCTGATGCCCAGCCCTTAATGAAACCCCTGCAAATGAGACAGTGAATCAGATGTAATGATTGAAGCAAATTTTTGTCTGGGATGTTCTTTCACAGATAACCAGATTGTGCTTTGTGCAGCTCCTCTTAAAGCTAAATGACAGTAAGCCCTCTCCATCCTTAATCATAGGTCTCTGGTTTCCAGAGACCAGTCTGGTTAGCAAAATAATCGAAGTCTGCAGCTACTTCTCTGACCTACTGGATAAGAGTCCACTTTCATTGAAATGTAACTATTATAATAAGTATTTACATCACAGTTAATATAGCTGCACATGTTAACTTGAAA